TAGTCCGGCTCAGAAGTTTCAGCACCCGCCCTATAAGAAGACACCCCCGGCATATAAGACGATCCTCGACTTTTGAGAAGATTTTCCTGAGTTAAAAAGTAGCCAGAAAATATAGTACTTTTAAGGAGAGTTGCATACTATGTTAGAACCAAGGTCTGGAAATATGATCTTTAGTTAAAAATTAATTAGGCTTTTAATATGAAAAAAGCCACTCTGGATTATTGTTAAAGGAGCTGAAAAGGATCAAAAGCTGACTGTATACATTTTTTAAATGTTACAGATCCTGAAGCAGGGGAGTGTTGTGCCAGCAGTAATATTAATTCCAAGTGAAATGCGAACTGCATACATTCTTGGCCTGAAGACAGTTCCAGGTGGTTGTGATAGTTTTCATTAAAACCAGGCTCAAAGACACCCCACAATCATGACGCCCAACATACGTGGGAAAGGGACTTTAATCCTTATGCCCCCTGCCCCATTCTGAAAAATACATATGCATACATGACAAGGAGCAATATTCAAAAAGAGTTTATTAGGGCCAACTATAAATATACAAGATATGCAAGTTTTTGAATTCTCTAAAATTCTTCATCAGGTATTCTAAAGAACTCAAAAGCAATTCATTTATCTGAATTATCTGTCAGAGTGCTGGACCACTCTGACAACCACCATGTCAGACTACACAGAGAAGCCACTGAAATCCACAAGCATGTGGACAATTTCAGCAGAAAGGAGGAAACCATGAAAATGAAGAAAATCTGGCTACCAGTATTTTAAAACTATAAAATCAGGACAGTCAATAAAGAGGAACACTCAAACAACAGAGGAATTCCTGACATGAAACACCTCCCAACAAAGGATTCCTCTAGGCTGGAAGCAGCCAGGCTTTGAAGCTGAAAGGCCATTCAGTGCTAATCAATGTGGCCAATTGCAACATTCACACTTGCCTCAGGCAGACAAAAGTTCTTTCTCCCACCCTGGACATTCCACAGATATATAAACCCAATTTTCCTAGTTTCCAACAGACCTCACAACCTCTGAGGAAGCCTGCTATAAATGTGGGAGAGATGTCAGGAGAGAATGCTTCTGGAGCATGGCCATACAACCTTGAAAACTCACAGCAACTCAATTAATGTATAGTTTATCCTGATAAAGACATTACCTCAGCATTGCATTTTGGACATTGTTATGTCAGCATCATTAGTACCACATTCACTACACCTTGGAAGCTTTTGTCTGAAAAGAAAGACTAAAGCATCTTTTACATATGGATATTATGTGACTATATATGGCTATCCCAGCCTAGATTTTTTTTTTTTTGCATGATTCATTCACAGGCAGTTTGCCATTGCCTTTTCCTCTTAGACTATGAGACCTGTATAAGATCACCCAGGTCCCATCTACACTGCCATGTAATCCTGTTCAGCTCATTTAATCTGCACTCTGAAACTATATTATATCAAAGTGTAGATCCAGCTTCAGTGAGTTTCCAGGTCTGAGTGGAGATTTTTATCCCGGTCAACGTGAGTCCTAGTCCAAGGACCTCGTCACATCCTAAGACTCAGACAAGCAATTATGAAGTGACTAGATAAGATCCACAAATGGAACACTGTATTGCTTAAATATCAAAGCCAGAATAATCATAGTATTTCTGATTTTATATGGATGCTTTAAAAAGACAGATAGTGAAGAAAGCTGATAGGATGATCTGTTCATTTGAAGCGTGGTACCACAGGAAAGTTTTGCAGGTATAATAGACTGCGGAAAGGAAAAATGAATGGGTTTAAGAGAAAATTAACTCTGAATTTTTACCAGGAGCCAAAATGACTAAACTAAGACTATCTATCATACTTTGGACATATCATGAGATGACGTGAAAAGACAGTAATGCTCAGTACAGTGGAAAGCAGGAGTAGAGGAGGAAGACTGAATTACAGGTGGAAAGCCTTGGTCATAAAAGCCTTGGCTTTAAGTTTGCAAAATGGACTCATCATTCATATTATCATCATAAACTGGAGCTAATGTGATGACGAATAAAAAGAACAACATAAACAAATACAATAATTCTACACAGACAGTAGCTACTCCCTGGGGCCTTGGGCTGAGAAATTAAAATACGAGTATGTTTCTCAGCTCTGCAGCTGGAGATGTCTGTCAGGAGCTGAACCTGGGCCCTTTTGCATGGTGTACGTGTGCTCTGCTGCTTCTAATTCCTCCCTAAAGATACAGCTTCTTCTGCACTGTACATTTAAGCACTGGGGAAGCTATGCCAATTGAATGCTTGCCTTTCTCATGCAGCTTTGAAAAGACATACAGCCTCATCCGATGGACAATCTCCTCCCCCATTTCACTGTCTGCCACCATAAAATAACTGCCATCAGATGATGCAGCCATACTTCTGGTCATTGCACCTGCCCCTCCGTCCCCATCACAGAACTACAGATCTACCATTAATTTGGGCTGATCTGTGATCATGCAGAGAAATTGTGAAATTAGCAAAAATAGCGTGAAGGACCCATTATTTTGCCTCAAAATAACATGTGATAGGATGCGTGACAGTCTCCATCCGGTTTTGCCACTCGGCATGGTGAAGTGGGGTGTTTCCATGGGCAGTCCTTAGCAACGAGCTGTCATAATCATCATCATCATCATCAACTTTATTTATACCCCACCACCATCTCCCCAAAGGGGACTCGGGGCAGCTAACACGAGGCCAAACCCAAAAATAATACAGCAAAGTTAAACACAAAATAACAAAAATTACATCGCAACAAAATACATAAAATAACAAAATAAAATAAACAGTGCCAATCAATATAATAAAAATAAAACACAAAGGACGGGCCAAATTTGCAAAATAAAATGTTAAAACGTTAAAACCCTGGGTGAGATAGGATTAGAAAATAAGTGTATTTATGAGGAAGGAGCCCAAGAAGGAGGAGCAGTGGGGTATGACCTTCATTAAGGACAGGGAAAGCGCATCATGAGGACAACTATTGGTGGAAACAAACAAAATGGGTTAAATGGTCACTCTCCAAAGGCACACCAGAAGAGCCAAGTTTTTAGATCTTTCTTAAAGGCTGCTAGTGTAGGGACATGCCTAATCTCACCAGGTAGTGAGTTCCAAAGCCGGGAGGCCACAGCGGAGAAAGCTCCCTGTTTATAGAAATGCATGATTACTCCTTAGCAGATTTCTTTTTTAAAAAAAATAGAAATAACAGATATTGTGGAATCGAGGCATTGGAGAAATGTGATAACTTTCCCCCTCCCCTCATTTGTTTCATATCAAAAGCATTACATAAATTAGTATAAAACTGAAAAAAATAGAAGGAGCACAAGTGGCTAAATATCTTTTGACCAAAAATGGGCACCAGCACCCTCATTGTCTGTAGCCTCAAGCTATTCTTTCTCTGTACATGAGGCAGGACATTCTGGACAAGCATACAGGTGTGGAGTTGTCTGTTCTGTTGTCTGTTCTGCTCCACAGTTGCACAAGGTGGAGGATTCTTCTCCGTAGTGCCATTTTGTCAGGTTGTTTTCTGATCTGCCCACTCCACTTCTGAGTCTGTTCAGGGACTTCCAAGTTGCCCATTCTTAGTTTGCCCCTCATGAAAAATTAACACAAAAAACCACGGAGGGTGGAAACTTTTTGGCTGTGTATGATGAGGAAGATATTGGGTGCCTATGGGAAAGGACTCCAAAGTTTGATACGTCTGATGGGAGGAAAAGTCATGAAATGGGTTGACAGAGGACTGAAAGGTACTATCCTTTCATGATTCCTCTCTTTACTTTATGAAATGATCGCCCTCTCCACTACTGTTTGATAAGGTCCATAGAGTTTCTTTGGGCAGTAGATTTCATACTCATCTTTCTAAATAACCACTAATCATATTTCTAATAACCACTGTGGCGTTCTAGCAAAAAAAGAAAAAATCAGCACTTCGGTCCACACTTAAGGAAGACAGTGCTTGCAGAATTCTTATTCTGGTTTTGGTAATTCTTTTCAAGACAAGGTATCACCCTTCTCCAAAATTCACACTAACTTGTCTACAGGATCAAATAAGTACTGTATTTGAGACACCTCAAACGACTACTTGCAGTTGTTCATCCCAACATTTTAAACCTGCAGCGGCATGAAAAACCATCTTAGAGCCAGTTTCAGCCTATGATGACACTGCTGGCTGGTTGCCTCGAGCAGAGAAGAAGCTGTTCAGCTGTTGGCATTTAAACATGATGATAAATTTTCATGTAAGTGCAGTTTGAACTAAAAAGAACTACAACAACTCTTTCCAAGGATCTGAGCACATACGAGAAGGCTGGTGGACAATGAAACTAACTTATTTAGAGCTCATCTACACTGTTGAATTGATGCAGTTTGACACCACTCTAACAGCTATGGCTCAATGCTATGGACTCATGGGAGCTATAGCTTTGCAAGGGCTTCTCTGCCAAAGGATTCTGGTGCCTCACCAAACAAATGCTCTCACTGAGCTATAGCAGTTAAAGTGGTGTCAAACTGCATTACCTCTACAGTATAGATGCACCTTAATAGTACAGTTTTCCCAGTATGTGAACTCTTCCCTTGCCATTCAAACAAGATTTTCTTTACTATCCTATCATACGTGAAAAGTCGTCTAAATGCATGCATTATCCTCTCGGCTGAAATCTGAGAAGATTATCTCAAAGGCTGACAATTCAAGATAAGACAAAGCGAGAAACTCCACAAAAGAAATGTCATCATAACATTGGAATAACTGGCAAAGCCACAAATGGGTTAACATTAACATTTAATACACTGCTTTCCTCTCCTGCCTTTGCCAGGGAATCTGCTGTTTGTCAGACTGATGTTCGTCAGAAAGCCATACTTCTTTCTCTCTCCCATCCTGTTTTTAAAACTTTTTATCAAGCTGATGAAGCAACAGGACAAGGCACAAAAGTGAAGCATGGGAGGCATAAGAGAGCAACGAGAGCCAAAGGCTGTGTAATCCAAAGTTAATGCTTACCTGTGTCTGCAGATAACGCCAAGTGAGGCAGGGATGCCACCCTGGGGCTCCACTTGAATATCCCGAAATCCCTAGCCTTCTGCTTCAATCTAACACCCTCCTCTCTTTTCTCTTGCTTCTGTTTGGTTACTAATCCTTACTGCACAGGAAAAGGAGAGTTGGGTTTCATTTAACCCCTTCTGCCACAAAAAGTCCCTCCTCGGTTTTCCTGTTTTGCTTACAAAAGTTGTAATCACGCACATAGGGAAGGCACACACTTTCAAATCCTTTCCCACCTCTTTGACTTGACTATGTGTTGTTGGTTTTTTTTTTATAAAAAAAATACATGTACACTGTTGTTGCACAAGTCATTGCCAGGGTGGGGCATTTCTCAACTTGACTTTTCTTTTACCCGCAAGCAGTACATCAAAAGAGGAGATGAGTCAGTAGATATAACCATCTATAACTGCAGCCATTGTTTTGTCATCTTCATTGATGTCCTTGAGCCCAAATAACAAGACTATTATTATTGTTGGGCCCCCTTGGTGGCACAGCAGATTAAACTGCTGAGCTGCTGAACTTGCTGACCAAAAGGTTGGTGGTTTGAATCCGGGGAGTGGGGTGAGCTTCCACTGTTAGTCCCAGCTTCTGCCAATTTAGCAGTTCGAAAACATGGAAACGTGAGTAGATCAATAGGTACCACTTCTGCGGGAAGGTAACGGTGCCCCATGCAGTAATGCTGGCCGCATGACTTTGAGGTGTCTGAACAACGCTGGCTCTTCAGCTTAGAAATGGAGATGAGCACCACCCCCCAGTCGGACAAGACTAGACTTAATGTCAGGGGAAACCTTTACCTTTACTTTATTATTATTATCTGAAACACAACAAGATGAGTCAACAGCAAACAAGATCACTCTGCTGGCTGTTGAATTGGATCAAACATCGGACACTTTCCAAGTGTCTTGGACTGTGTGGTGTATAGCCGAATAATGTGTGCAGATCCCAGTAGGGTGGCCTTTTGCAGTTGGCAGATGGTAATTTTGTCAGTGCCGATTGTGTTTAAGTGCAGGCCAAGGTCTTTAGGCACTGCACCCAGTGTGCCGATCACCACTGGGACCACCTTTACTGGCTTGCGCCAGAGTCTTTGCGGTTCCATTTGTGAGCCACATCCATGCTTTTTCTTTGTCAATTTGGCTCTCAATTTTCTCAGGAGCTGTCCATGGAGAGCCTTCTTTTGCCAGTTCTCTCTTCTGCTCTGCATTGTGTTTTTAAAGTATTCACTCTTCGTCTTTTGCACTTTAAGCAGTTTACTACTATTGACTTCCCCCAATGTTGGTTCTCGACTGCCTTTCATATAATCTGCCAGTGCATGATTCTCTTCTTCTACCATTTGTTTCACTTGCAGAAGCCCTCTGCCTCCTCATTTTCTGGGCAGGTAAAGTCTGTCAACATCACTACGCAGGTGTAATGAGAAGAGGATTGTCATCGGTTTTCTTGTTTTTCTGTCCAGATCATGCAGCTCTGCTTGTGTCCAGTTCACAATTCCAGCAGTGTATCTAATGATGGGGATGGCCCAGGTGTTGGTAGCCTTGGTTGTATTTCCGCCATTTATTTTGCTCTTCAAAACCTTTCTGACCCTTTGGATATATTCTTTGCTGACCACCTTTTTCACATGCCCATGCTTGATATTGTCCAACTATAGTATGCCCAGATATTTATAGGCTTCAGGCTGATTGCATTTTGTGGTTTGTCCTTTTGGCATCTCTATGCCCTCACTGTGAATAATTTTCCCTTTTTCTAATGCCACTGTGGCACATTTGTCTAGGCTGAACTCCATATTATTATTATTAACTTTATTTGTACCCCGCTAACATCTCCCGAAGGACTCGATGTGGCTTACAAAGGCCAAAGGCCCTCAATAAAAACAGCAGCATAACAAATACATATAACTCATAAAGCAAACTAAAAACATTAAAGCAATAACAAAAAACAGTAAAACAATACACCATGATGCAATAAAACATACTGATGTCAGTGCTGAAGATTCTGACTGTGTTGGTCAGTAACTGGATTTCAGTACATTATTATTATTATTATTATTATTATTATTATTATTATTATTGTAGTTGTTGCTGTTATTATATTTATTACACAGCCCAAGAAAACAATTTTGGTGTCTTAGTTTTTAGGTCTGTTGCTGGATTTATTTGGGGAGCTGGTTAAGAAAATGGCATTGGATAAACTGCGTCAGCTCTAGTTTCTTAGATATGGTTATCATGGTTTTCTATGGGCAAGCAGACTGAAAACTAAAAGTGGTGGATGGCATATATTTTGTATCTCAAAAACTAGAGTTGATAGACAGCACGTCTTAGGGCTGTCCAAACACGGAAAAATTTGTTTCTAAACTCGATTCGTTTTTAGGGTTTTTTTGCGTTTCGTTATTTAAAAGAATTCCGAAATTTTCCTTAAAAAAAGTTCGATATTTACGAAATTTTGGAAATCATAAAACAATTATGAAACAATTACGAATCGATTACGAATCGATTCGTTAATGGTGGCCGCGATCGCGCAATACGCTAAAAAAACTTCTGAAGCTTCCCTCTCCCTCTGTTGTTGACTGTTGGTGTGATAATTATATTTTTTTTCACTGAGAAAACAAACAGCAACCCTAAAACTTGCACCAGACATGTGGAAATAATAAAGAAACATTTACGAATCAATAACGAATCAATAACGAAACAATAACGAAACAATTACGAAACGAATTGGAAAAATTCATTTCGTTTTTTAGTTGCTCCTGAATGGTTCAATATCGCTTCGTTATAAAAAAAAATAACTAATCAATAACGAATTACGACATTACGAAACGAAACCGCCCAGCCCTAGGTCAAATATACCCAGAAACAGAGCAAAATGTGTGGTGGTGGGTGTTATTTTTATTTGTATTACACTTTATCCCTCTAATAATGAGACCCAACAGTAACCGTAAAAGCAATCAAATCACATTTCCTTTGCAATCAGAAACAGGGCCTACATTGAATCCCAAATGGGAACTCTTTCATGTTGCTTTTGAAGTTGGGAATACAAACCTGTCGGGGAAACCTAGGATGTGTCTATTTAGAATTAATGCAGTTGGACACCACTTGAACCTCCATGGCTCAATGTTCTGTATTCCTGGGAGTTGTAGTTTGGTGAGGCACCAACACTATTTGTTAGAAAAGGCTAAAACACTTATAAAATCACACCTCCCAGGGTTCCATAGCATCAAGCCATGGTGGTTCAAGTGGTCAAACTGCATTAAATCTATAGTGCAGATGCACCCCAATTTATGTAAAGGTGTAGTTGAAATTCTGGGCATGAAAGCCATAGAAACACAGAGAAAAAGCAGAGGCAAGCCAGACATCAATCTATCGGAGTTCACATCTTTCATTATGAATTAAAATTCAGACTGCAGATATATAAAAAAGCTAATGGGACGTGTTAGTGGGATGAAAACTTGCCAGTAGAACTCTACCCAAATTATATGTTTTCTCTCTTTCTTTCTTTTTTGGTGTGGAAGAGGCCCATTTCTTGGCTCGCTTATTTATCTTTCTTTGCAATCTTATATAGAAAAAGTGTTAGATGACAAAACAATTCTACTGGGGCCAGTCAGGTTGAGGGGGAAATAGCAGGAAAATCTTTCTGTGAACAAAAGAGTTCCTCTCAGAGGTTGGAAACATTTTGAACAAGCTTTCTAGAAGAGGCTTCATGGATTTATTTCTCCCTTTGTGGCCTCCAATACCTTCCAAAAATCTGCTCTGGATGGTGGAGAAGCCCTTTGGAACAATAAAGGAGGAGCTGGCCAAGCTGAGAAGGAGAAGCCTTGTGTCAAAAGTAGCCATCTTGAAGTGGATAACTAGGACCGCAGGAAAAAAGATCTGTGCCCAGTGAGCATAAGCTAAACCAAATGGGCCAGGACAGAGAAACACTCACCAGGCTGAAGACAAGCCACAGAGATTTATTCAATTTGGCCAAAAGGGATGCAAGTACAAGCTGATGCTTCATAGTGTACAAGCATAAAACATACAGAGGAAGCAAGACATCTTATACAGTTTGACAGCTCTTCAAAACTCCTGCTCTTTCCCTTGATTGGTCAAAAGAGGGTCCAGTCTGGATCCACACCCTGATTGGCTGGGAGTTCTGCTGGCGTCGCTGTTGCTAGGCGGGCATTCCCTTTCGCGGGAAATGACAGCTAGGGATTGGCTGGCCAGTGAAGCAATCCAGCTGGTAGGATGCCTCCCTGGGAGGAACTGTCATTTGGAAAAACAATGTTAAAGAAATTATAATTAGCTTTTAATGCGCTCAGTTGTTCAATTCAGTGTTTGACAAAGATTGGAGCTTCTGCAAACAATGTGCGAGAATCCTAAAACAAAAACTAATCATAGAATCATAGAATCAAAGAGTTGGAAGAGACCTCATGGGCCATCCAGTCCAACCCCCTGCCAAGAAGCAGGAATATTGCATTCAAAACACCCCTGACAGATGGCCATCCAGCCTCTGCTTAAAAGCCTCCAAAGAAGGAGCCTCCACCACACTCCAGGGCAGAGAGTTCCACTGCTGAACGGCTCTCACAGTCAGGAAGTTCTTCCTCATGTTCAGATGGAATCTCCTTTCTTGTAGTTTGAAGCCATTGTTTCGCGTCCTAGACTCCAGGGAAGCAGAAAACAAGCTTGCTCCCTCCTCCCTGTGGCTTCCTCTCACATATTTATACATGGGTATCATATGATCTTGGGCAACCAAGGGCTGGACTGTCAATAAAGAGGTTTCACAAATATATATACTGTGAGCTGGCACAGGAAACTACCTATCTCTGCGTATATGAACAATGGATTTTGATGATTACCTGGCTTGGGAAACAGCCAGAGGTGTTGGCACAACCTTCTTGTTCTCAGAGAAATATCCCAGCAGGGTTATAGAAAGGTGATGGTCCCTAGACTACATCTTGTTACATTCTATAAAGAAGTTTATACAGTTTATATATTAGAAATAGATACAGTACACACAAAGATATGAGTTACACAGAAAGTCAACGAAAGCAGATAGAAATTATTAAAGTGTTAGAAGTCTTTGAGGGGTTGAAACTGCCGCTGGTCCGTTTCTGATCTATGATGTTTGTGTTTGTGAAGCTGCAATTCTCATTATCCCATAGCATTGAGCCATGGATGTTAAAGTGGTATTAAACTGTATTAATTCTATTTTTGAAAGCTTTCACGGCTGGCGCCATTAGGGTTTTGTGTGGTTTCTGGATTGTATGTCCGTATTCTAGCAGCCTTT